GTCACAGGATGTCGGAGCGTAATTACGCGGCCATCCAAGTGCGAGCTTGACATGGCATGTTTTCATGGCCTGTACAGAATTCTAAGACTTTCTATCTACGTTGCAGACCATATGGCACATGGCAAGGCTTGGGGATAATGTAGACTGTCTGACACAGGCACTGAAGATGTTTGCCCAAAGCAACTAAGCCTGAGACGAGGCTTCGTGGATCACACTGCACGGCTTCGTCGATCTGAGGTTCGTGCGAGACAGACAGACCGGCCACTGGAACGAGCACGAGGTCAGCAAGGTGATGCAATTGGCCAGGAGTCCCAGGATTCAAGACACTATAAATTGATGCGTCCCCATGATGAGGGCTGTGGCCAATCCTCCGGTACGGGAGCAGAGGGAAGGCAGATTTGAAGCTGTGGGGAAGTTCGGGTGGCAGCCCCCCCAGTCTCATGTCTGAACTAAAACTTGAGACATCCCTCAAGCACTGCATGGGTAGAGCTTATTCGCTGGAAGATGTATCACATGAGACGAACACTCCAGAAGTGCCCAACTCAAGGGAGGCCCAGTACAAGAGGCCTAAAGAAGTGTGCCTGAAGGGCAAGGTGGGAAGCAAAAGGCGTGAAAGAAATCATTGGTGGATCAACAATCATCAACAATCCATGCCCTGATTGGGCGTGGGAAGCTTCAAGCTTCAGTCTACCAGTGCACCGTATTCAGCCTGTGCAGCTAACCAAGGTGGGAGATGCTCATGAAGAACTTGGAGAGACGGCGCGCAGTATGTCACAGTGAGGTTTGAATCATGCAAGATTTGACCAGCAATTTGTGCCTCATTGTGCGTCAGAAATCAGCTGGCTTTTTGGGGAAGCGCTTCTCATCCATGTTCATAGCAGCCATATGGAGCTAGCAGCTTGGGGACCTGCCCTGCAGCTTGGGAGAGACGTTTTCTTCGTTGCCCTAGCCGCAGGTCTCGCAGGAGCCCATCTGCGTCCGCGTGCAGCAGGAAGGCCAAGGGAGCGGAGTGGACGACCCAACGACCACCTGCTCGGGGGTGGAATGTGATCGTCAGACGATCGTCAGACGGAAACCGCTGGCTTAGGCACCGCAGGTTAGCGCAGAACATTCTGTTTGGAGCACCCTGCATAGTCAGAAGACTTGAAGAGCACATTGTCACAGTCAGCCAAACGTCAATGTGCAGCACAACATCCATGCTGCTTAGGTCACCCTCATGCGTGGATATGCAGATCGTGGACTTGCCTGGATTTAGGGACTTCGCAGCGGCCTGAGAAATACTGCCTGTGACTGGTTTTATGCAGATCGTGGGCGACTGCATTCTTGGTGAAATGACTAGACCACGTCCGCAACTGCTGGTACAAAACATATATATGCTGTACTGTATATATTAATGTCGTTATATAATCAAGCAAACATTGAATGCCGCCATATATTCTTGGTCGACACTTGACATACAGGATAGTGTGTACTGTACTGTGTATACCCAAATACGTTTGTTGCTTCTTGTGAATTTAACGCCGTCTTTGCACGATTTCATGGCTTATGCATCGAAGCGACTTGGAGACGCTCCAAGAACCTCGCACTCTTCTTTTGGAGGTCACAGCGGTGAAACTTCCGGTTTGCCACTGCAATCCTGCTGTCAGTAGCTTTAGGAATGCGCACGTTGAGTGTCCTGTTGTCATCAGCCAAATAGGGCTCGTTGATGACAAATGGGACGGGAGTCCCATCAATCATGACGGTCGGGTGCAGATCTGCAGATTGTCGGCGAGGCACTCGACCAGTCAAAGCAAGAGCTTTGTACAAGGACCCCTCACTGGAGTTTGATGCCATCGGGGAGCTTGGGCTGGGCCCAGAGGCTGTTGAGTAGGAGAAACTTTATTTTGGTAGAAGGCTTCTGTTCATTGCATAGGAGAAATATGGAGAAGCATTCCTTTGCAAGATTTGGATTCCTCGTGTGAATGTCCTTTTGGGAAAATTACTCCAGGGAAGGTGTTGCGGTTTGAAATGCGCATGTCAGTCCAGAATGCACTGTACTTGAAGTTACATAAGCTTCTGCAGGATCGAAGAGCTTGTCATGACCTTCATGCGTGATCCGCGCAACGTGATGCTTTGCGTGGAGCAGGCTGGGATGCATGCCAACACCCTGCAGAAGAGGGTGCCTTTTAGACCCAGCCTACTTGCATGGAAACGATACTGCACACTGCAGACATTTGATATTCCGTGCATTTGATTAGATTGCACAGCCTGGTATGATTCCAGTGTTGTCGTCATGTGGCTTGACTTCTTCGCACACACACACATGCCTGTTTGTTATGTGTGTGGTGAAAGGCATGACCTGCAGCATTCCGTCAAACACTGGATTGAGCCGGCTATGACATTGTCTCCATACATCTTTGCTGGCTTTGGTTCTGTAGTTGGATCTCTCAGACTGTAGGATCTCTGAGACATTGTGCAATTCATTGATGCACGTTCCAGAAAGCGGCAAAGATTCCATCCATTTCACCACCTCACCACTCCAGCCTCGCAGTGTGGCGATGCCGCCACCATGTCCACTCTGGGGAAGTGCCGGCAGATCGATCCTAAGTTTCAGAGGAGTTGGGGAACTTTCTGCAGTTGACAGGTCTGTCCATGGCTTTTGTTCCAACTGGTATACTCCCACCCCAAATATGTGCGAAGTCCCTTTGCAATCTGTCATTGGAATTCTCGTCAACTTGGGCAGTCCCACTGTTACTAATTACTTCTGCCGGAGTCGATGTTTCAATCTGATAATTAGTAAATCAATGTAAATCACCGATGTCTTTAAAAGGACATTGATGTTTGTAGCCAGTTATAGCTATTACTATGAATGCTTGCATGGCCGTCCATTTACATACCTATCCAAGCCATGATTCTGACCTTTCGAGCCCCTAGTCTATTGCATGCACTAGGAAGCAGCCTTTGATAGGATAGGTCGTTCTCATTTTCACAAGGAAGAACCGTTCCTGTGACCAAACTTAGAGAAGTCACGTGTTATCGTCTTCACTCACATTGGTCCGCCCACGGTGTGTAGCCCGTGCAGGACCATTTTGGTGCGCACCAAGTTGGACAAGTATTACACGGACTTGACGCCCGGGAGCCCAGCCCTTTCTTTCGGGGCACGAGCAGTGGAGCAACCTGGAGCAACGGCGTCCAGAAGTTGGGATGGGATACCCAGATTCACGGCTCAGAATGGTCAAACTCTCAACCTTACAGAAGACAAGAGTGAAGGCATTTCTACGGCCAGGTTGAATAGACATTTTGGCTGCCGTCTACGAAAAAAGGGCCTGGCAGTCTTCAAGATCTCAGCACATCCCACGAAAAACGCCCTGGTTCTCTAACTGTCCCGGAGGAGATTCCACATCATTCGCAACCCTTCGCGCCAGGAAAGAGAATGTGAACCAGTGGGTGGATGGCTTCGGCGATCTACCCGAGAACTTGGTTCGCTTTGCCCTCACGCTTCCCTGGTGGCAGGCAGGGAGCCAACATAGCTGTTCACGCATGTGAACACCCTCTTGCTTTACCTGTCCTCCCGTGCATCCCTGCTTTAGCAAAAGCTTACGTGCTTAGAATCCAGGTACAAGTGAAAGAAACCCCGCGTAGACTCGTGATGCCTCACTGCATCTCCCCCCGGTTGCAAGGATGGGGAGATTTGCCCTGCCGAGTCATTTGTGAAGATGAGAGACGAATTCAATGCGAAGGACCGCAACACGATCAACAGGGAGACTTGCAATGTGGACTTAAAGGACCTTGAAGGAGTCCTAGTAGCCTACGGTGGCCCTTCAAGATTTGCACGCCGCCCCTCAAACACGCATCAGTCATGAAAAGTCTTTGACGCGGTGGAATAGAGCCACACTACAGTACTGCAGCTGCATGAATCGTTATGCTCGTTGACTTTTCAACCCTCCATAGGATCAAGCTGAGATGCGGGATAGGCAGTTGAAGCCTGAGTACATGCAGGCGGGGAAGCTGCCACGGGTGACCTTAGTTTCCATAACAGATGGCTCCCCTATGACTGCGCCAGAAGCCCACAACGTTTGGTGTATAATTTTTATGAGAGTATGTTGCAGTCACCCACTCTTGCCTTAGCACGCCTCTGTCAGTTATATAACTCAAAGGCTGCACCTGGCTACCAACACTTCCCAAAACAGGACATTGAGCCCCCCAGTCAGTGCTCTTCTAGAGCACCCTATGCCCCAGGCGAGGGTGCCTCAATAGCTCTGGTTCTTTTCTTAACAAGGGCATAGAGTGGGGACAGTTGGGGTTGTTTGATCTCTGCCTCGCATGTTGACATATTCATATTGGGGTGGCAGTGGGTGTTGACCTTATAGTTGTGATTTCTTGTGAGAATGGGGCAGGTATGCCAAGACTGTTTGATCAGTAACCAGCCGCAGTGTCAGCCAGCAATTTCCTAGTGACTACTCAAGACAGTGATAGAAACCAGTAGAGATTTCACCCATGCTTGAAAGTGGACAGTGATGATGATATTTTACTGACTGAACAAAAAGACATGTGTATATGGTTATATTCATTTTTATAGGTGCCATTGTAGTTTATTTACAGAACAATGCCTCCAATACTGCCGGTCTTCATTCGCGCAAAAAAACGCCAAGTGAAATAAGCCTCACTTTCACCCCGCGAGACCATTGGCTTCCACGCCTTTGGGGTTTTCATGGAGAAGAAGATCGAGCACATGTTGCTTGGCGTGCGAAGAGCGAGGCCAGATCACCCACAGACGAGGAGTGATTCGTGATCTGTGGAGATTTGTTGGTTTTTCAGGACAAGCTGCAGGACGTTCTGACAGCAAGCATTAGCGCTCATTGTTGGCTTTTACCAGAGTTTCGGGCCAACCACAGTTTGCATAGCGGCTAAATTTCGCTGCCGCGCTGCTTCATGGCACGCCTCGAATATTCATTGGGAATCTATGTTCAGGCACAATGAGACCCCGCCAGAATTCCGTCTCCAATGCTCCAAATGATCTATTTAAACATAAAGCTCTCCATTCCTGTGTTTTTTCCTGTGTATCTTTGGGAACGCCGGAAATTGCTGCAAGTTTTTGCACCTTGAACCTGCGCTGTCGCCCGAAGTGCCACTCCAGACTGAGGCCGCCTCATTCATTATCTTACCGTGCACCCGCAGGACAGTACTAAGAACGTTTATTCGTAAGGCATGTCTTGGCCACCGAAGTGAAGACTTGTCGACCAATCTGTTTCCGATGTTTTGGTCCATTCCTCAGCCTTTTGAAAGAAGGACGTACTGGTATAGGGACGGGTCTGAGTTTTCCGCCCCTTAGGTTTGCTGACGCGATCAATCCAGTGCTCGACAAGTTGAGAGAATTGAAGGCGCGTGACAATCGCTGGCCGTCCTTGGTGAGCCTGACGTTACCATTCCCCAGTATTTTGTCCATGGGATTTGCGAATGAAGACTGTGACTCAATAGTAGCCACTCAAACACATGCTTTATTTTTGGCATGCCATCCCAGTCACTACAGTAACGAGTCATACCGCGATGCAAACAAGTGGCCCAACGCACTGATGTGACTGAAAGCTAGGGCCGCTAGGGTCCAGTCCTACAAGGGTTTTTCGAATTCGACAGTGGCCACCGTTCGACAGGCGTTCTCGACCCTTCGACCGACGCTTGTCCAGACGAAATACACTTCGAAAGAGCAGAGTCTGCAGACGGAGTACGAAGAGACAGATCCTCACAGGACTGATTGGAGTACGTTTTTGTTCACGGTCTGCACTGACTTGCAGCGGAAATCCAAGTATGGGAAGAACATCCACTTCTCTGTATGTGCTTCTTTGAATGTATGCGACTGTAGTTGACAGTCAGAGCAATCGCCGGATTTGGGCTTAGACGGATCCGTCACAGATGCAGGATGCCCTCAGGATGCACACAAATTTATTCAATCATCTCTGATTTTAGTGCTTTCTGATTTGTTGTGAAGCCCTCAGAAAGCATCACAGGACACGAAGCGAAAGACAAAACAACGGATTTCAAAAGATTTCTAATTGTTTCACAACACCTGGTGACGTGGTCGTCGCTGGGCGTCAACTTCTCAAGCACTGACATGTCAGTCGGTAGAAACAGAGACCAGGAAATCATTTTTGAAACCCTGCCAACTCGAGAAATTATGGTAAAAGGCCATGCATGGAACACTAAGTGACTAAGTGGACCGGTCGAATTTACAACCAGCACGAAACTGTTGGATTCAAGGATCAATGCAGCTCTTGGCAAGTTCAGCTTTTCCAGGCAACGATACAGCTGAGAACACAAGTTACCACTTACCACCTCTACTGTGCTTGCCGAGAGCTCGCTCGTATGGCTTCAGAGCTCGCCATGAGCTCCGCCACATCTTCTGCCGAGAATGCGAGAGTGCAAGACTCCGCCACTTGGCTCATCCGCCACGTCATGTTGAAAACAAAAGCTCCTGCCACCCCTCTTCGATGGTTCGCAGATCGTCAAAAAACTTGGCTCTTCATTCCTGAACTTAAGCGCTCTTCTGAAAACCCCTCTTCGTCCCAAATGTATCGACCAACCTTGGAAGGTACTGGGTGAGGCCGAGATAGCCGCTGGTCCAGGCCCCTGTGAAGCAGACCGTGCTGCTGGCGCTGCCCGTGCGCCGCGCGGGTGCAGCACGAGTGCAGCAGCGCACCCAGCCGACGCCGATGCTGGTGCCGGTGGACCGCCACGGAAGCGGCCACGCCTGGGTTACATGGCCATGGCTGCGGCAGAGCAGTGCCAAGACCCGTCCAAACATTTTTTAGTTTGGCGATGTGTTGGTGTTGTATTCGCAGATGAGAGAGATAAAACCGATCAAATCAGGCAATATAGCAGGTGAACGTGCGAATGAGTCTATATAAGTTTATGTTATATATATAACGTGTTATTGCTTAACAGCAGAGCCAAACTGCTTTCAACAGCAGAGCCACTGCTTTCAAAGTTGAGGTGGAATCTGGACGTCGCTGGGGTCATGGATTGGGCTCAACGACGCGAGCTGCCTGGAGTCGGTGTGGCCGATTTACTGGACTACCGCCGAGAACACCCCGAAGAGGATCTGGCGGCCGGGCTTTCTTCGATCCTTTCAGATGGGAGCTGAGCAGAAAAAGAGCAGAGACGCGCGGTGCTTTTTCTTGGATGGAAGGTGTCAAAGGACAACCATGAACCATGTTGAATCGACGTGAATCGCCTGGAAGTGGATCCATGACCTCCCCTGGACAGCCCATTTCTGTTCTTCGGCCACCTGGCAGGATGTTCAAGCTGGTCATTTCCAACTGAATCAGAGAGGTCAATTAAATCATGCACAACTCATTCCATTAGTCATTGGTTATCACACTTCTAAAGAGGTACCTCGCGTACCTTGGCAGGATCTTGAGTACCACCCGAGAATGCGGCATTTCCTTCGCCTCGGCCTTGAGATCAGTCATGGAGGCCGGTGTCCCTGAGATCACCTAGTAGCCCTAGTAGCTCATCTCTCACATTTTAGGAGAACCTTGTCGGGGTGTGGCTCCTGTGAGCTTTGCCTTCGGCTGTGTGGAAGATACAGGGGTTTCAGACAAAGGACAAAACATATGCGGATGCGAAGGTGCATTCTTACACCTGTTTCATGAAGAACTCCACTTTCTGGGTCCTTCTGGCAAAGTAGCTGGTCGGCATCACTCAATTGCTGCAGGGTATTCCGAACCTCTCTACTGGGCGAATGACCTTGGAAAAGGAGCTCAAGGAGTTCCACGAGTATCACAAGAAGGCTCAAAGCAAAGCCAGGGTAGCCAACTTTGACTAAACTGAAGCTGGAGATCTCTACAGACTCTGCACCACCAGATCAATTCAGCATTGGACATACAGGATGAGGAAGAAACCTGTTGGGACATAGACAGGCAAACAATTGTCAAGTTGTTTACAATCTTCTATGTCAAGTGACCACTTCCCTGCGGTCTCCCCATTGTGAAATTGATAATTTAATGTTAGTCACAGTGTCATGGACAAGATTCTATTGGATTCTGAGATGGATTAGTATGGATCAGTTATGGAATGCAATGCAATGTTATATATGTATCTATATGTGGGTATACATACTTAAGTTTCCCTGAACATCTAGGAACCAAATGCGAACGCTTCTTCAAGGAAGCTCCCCTCGCCCTCAGGCAGGGGCAGCTTCCTTGAAGAAGCGTGAGCTATCCTGCGTCGTAGGTAGTAGCTTAAGTAAGGTACTAGCTACTGTTTGCTTCTACTCGCTACCTCTAGCTACTAGCTACCTACCCCCCGGGCTTTAAAACATACAAATATATATATATATAGAGAGAGAGAGAGAGATAGAGTGTAGTTGCATTTCTTGCCAGCTCACAAGCCCTTCTGTCTGCTCCGACCAGTTGGGCTCGGACCACTTCCAGATGCTACCCTCAGAGGACTTCATGGGGCTGGACGACTACATTGAGTGCCTCCGAAACGAAACGGGAGATGCTTCTGTGGGTCGGGTAAAGCCATGTAAAGCCTTGAACATCTCTTCATGCACAAGCCTGGTGCTCTGTGGCACCCAAATCAACCTTTTAGACGGTGACGACCTAACGTTGCGGGCACTGAACGCCCAGTTACCTGCAGAATGACATCCAGATCGGCGCTTCTGATGCCGAGGAGTTGCGGGGAAGGGGCTGACTTGGATGCCACTTTTTTTTACTGGCGGAGGACAGATCTCAAGTTTTGCAGGCTACGGGTGATCTTGGGTATTGAGCTTCATTGCAGTGGATTTTTGTTGTTCTAATCTTAAATGCCTTGATAAGGAAGCGCTCCGCTTTGGCCCGTCGTTGTTTGGAAAATTGTGTGCACGAGCCGAAGGAACCAAGCTTGTGTTGGGCCCAAGGGCTGTTGGGGATGTACACTTATGCTGGGTTTGCATGTGGTCAAATAGAATTTAAGATTAGCGCTCAATGGGTAGGGACTAGACGTCTGGAGTCACGTGATGACGTGTCATCTTGCTTTTCCAATGTTTCATACTCTATTCCTTTTTCTTACAGTACTAGTAGTACTGTTTTCCCAGTATGCAGTGTCCTTTTTTGTCGTATAAATCCACATATATATATATTATGATTTGTTGCCGATTGCTTTCTGTCGGTGATGTTCTTCTCTTGGGACACTTTCTGGCTTGATTCCATGAGACTTTGATGCTGAGAAGGGCATGGCCTGTGATCTCCATTTTGAACACAAACTGTAGTACTTTTTGTCAACAAGATCCGGGGCACCCTGGGGACTCTGGAATACTCAAGGTGCAAACGCTGCTTCAAATGCTTTCCATTCCCGTGAACTAGAGTGGGACATCATAAAGCCTCCAACGTTGCACTCCATCATGGTCAGGTTCTTCCCATCAGTCTTTTGAACCCAGTCCTTCAGGGCTAATGTTTCGAAAGGCCCACAATGCCTCTTGAGGGTTTTGTCGCTTCTTCCGGTGGTTCCTGAAAGTAGATGACCCACATGGAGATCATAGATGACCCAAGCCAGGTCAATGGTGGTGCTCAATTCCGTCGAGTCATGGCTGAGGCAAACCATGAGGGATTTGTGAAACCACCAGCAAGCGGGTGGGAACCATATGGCCGGAAGTACTACATAAGATTATTATAAGCACAAAACCCTGAGCCGCAGGCAGGTTAGTCCTGAATTGAGCACAGTTGCTTGTGCCGGCACGAATAGCAACTTTCGAACATTGCAGAGAATTGCATGGTCAGTTTTCTTGGCGGCTCAGGATGTTCTTCGAGTGTTGCTTGAAACTCTCATTCTGAGCTCTCTGTTCGTATGCGAAGCAGCTCACGAACACCTCCACTTCAGCAGCTTGCGGTCCCGCTCCGAACGGTCCAGGTCGAGATTTTCCTGCGATTCTCCGAGATCGCCGTAGAGACCAAGAAACGAGATGTCATTCAGGCGAGGTTTTGTGACAGATTTGTAAGAAATTCCAATCGTGTGGCTTTGCGCGACAGACACCCCGCCAAGAAGCACTGGCATCGTCCTTTTCCTCAGATAGCGAGAGCTATTGGGTAATTTACTTCAAGTATAGGAAGAGGTGCCTGTGTGCACTGTGCCGCTACAAGGTCCTGCTGCCAGATGTGTATGGCCATGTGCGCTTGAACAGGGTGGCGGTGCAGGGTGCTGCTGCAAGATTTTTATGGCTGTGTGCACTTTGGAGCTTGGGTGGGGGTGCCGCTGCAGGGTGCAGCTGCAGGGCGCCGCTGCCAGATGTTGATGGCAGCGTGCGCTTTTGGAGCCTGCGTGCTGCACTGATGCAGGGTGCGGCTGCAGGTGCTGTTCTGGAGGGCGCTGCTTCTAGGGCTTGTTTTCGAGGGGTTTGTTCGGTTCACAGCAAAGTGCTATAAAGTGCGATTGGCCGAGGCCCTTACGAGTGGACAACAATTGTCCCATAGCAACACTTTGGGCCCTTGGGCGCTGAATATTTATGATACTTTGAGAGTGAAACCTTGTTCCCGCATGCATGTTGCATTAAACCAAGAAAAAGCTAAGGAGCAAGGACGCTATTAGGGGCTCCTGGCCTTACTACTATAGGAACAATAACGCTACTAGGGGCTCCTGGCATCGAGGACGCTATTAGGAGCTCCTGGCGACAATTGTGTTGCGAAGTGCTTTGTGTTGGTCGGTCAATGTTCGCAGAACCAATGTATAAATGCCCTCAGAACCTTCATGTCCATTTGTTGTGTCTTGTCTTCTTGGTACTCAACTTGTACGGGAGTGATGTAGCACTTCACCCAGTCATCCCATCCACATTTCATAGTAATTACACGTGCAAATGTTTGTATGTGCTTGCTTTGTCTCTGGCAACTACCAGATTACCTGAAACGGCTGTTGAAAAAGAAGCTTGGCCCAAGCAGCTGGGGTGTTTGAAGGCCCTTGTTGCCTGACTCCAAGTTCCAGGGTCAGTACTGCTTTTGACCTTGGGCGAGAATGCCCTGATGGCCTCGTTCATTCGAACAGCTTTGAGACTAGCTTGCTCCAACTGTTGGCTTGCTGCATTTTGGGGAAGTGTCAACCTCACAATTGCCCATGGTTTGGCAGCAGGCGGGAGATGGGCATAGAGTCAACACATATGCCGTTTTGGGTGCAAAACGGCACTGCCCTCTTTTGAGTGAGAGGCCTTCCACATGCTTCCCTGGCGTTTCACATGTGAGAAACATGCTTTCCCATGTTCAAAAATCCCAACTTTGTCGCATCTTCAATTGGACGAAAAGGGTAAAGAGCCTACTTCCTTCATATTCTATGGTCTATAGTCTATAGATTTCTATAGTCTATAACCTTCATGTAACCCACTACGTCTATCCCTTAAGCCTGTTTGTCAAGGTGGTGAAGCCTGGCCCTTAACCACCGTCCGGGACCCCACGCAGTTCCTACCGCTTTTGGTGCGGATCAGCACCTCCGATAGCAGCGCCTACCAGTCGTTCTCGGAGAACAGCCTGCAGTTGGGCTCCCGTGACGTCAGCGTTCTGCGCTTCGAACCACAGCTCACTGAATGCAAACTGACTCGCATTCAGAACAGATGGATGGCGGCTGGCGGAGATGTTTTTTCTTGGTGTTGTAACCGGTGTTGTACGGTGTCAGGTCGAATGGTGGATCCATGAGATCTATATGTGGCTTTAATCGTTTACAGTAATGGGTCTGTGTCTTTATGGCTCCAGGTGGCAGCCTGCTGGCTTACTGAACATCGCTCCGAGGCAAGGATGTGGTGGCAGAATTGCGCAATCTACCTGCACCATTAAGCTGTTCCACTTCCAGTGATGGTGCTTTGCTGAGCCTCACCTTCTACGAGGACTACAAGTTGGCCTCCTCTACGACCTACTTGCTCGTGACGCGCCTCTTGGATGTGCAGGATGAATTTCTCGTAACGCACCTGCCGCGAGCATGTTCAACTTGACATGATTTTGTGGGCTAGAAATAGGGAGAAGACCACCAAGAACACTAATGATTCCACCTTCTCAAAGCTGCGCTGTTTGCCGTGCGCTGTCTATTTGTAGCAGCGTAGCCGTCTATATAATAAGCGCAAAAGCAAAGGCCGGACTACTCTCAAAAAGACTAGTCACTAGTCCTCTCCAAGTTCTCCAACCAAAGGCAGGGGAAGATTATGCCATTTTCCACCGATGGAGCATGAGATGTGCCTGGCACATTTGAGACTTTGTTTTTCTCGGCTCAGAGCATTCCAGCTCAACACACTCAAGCCAACCTTTGGCGCAGTCATGGGTTGCTTGGATACGATTGAGTATATTTTTGTAACAACTGTTCACCTTCAGCATTTTCCAAAAACAAACGCCCTTGGTGTTCATGAAGACAGATGAGGTAAACGCTCAAGGTCATTTAGTGAATCGTTCTTACCTTTGCCCAAACTAGTTTGGCACAAGCCAGAGCGTCAGGACTTAGGATAGCCTGCTAAGGAAACCCATCCCTCCTCCCCATCTCAGGCCCAGTTGATTAGGGACCCCAGTGCCCTTTTTGCTATGAGCCTTCAGCATGATGCCCAATCCACATTGCTAATATTGAGACCTATCGGAGGCTTCGTGATATTGCAAGATGCTCTGTATTGCAAGATGTTTTTTATTCACAGGCCAATGGTCCTGCTATTTTCCGATATGGTCCTGCTGTAAACTCCAGTCAGTGGTTCCGAGCGGCTTTCTCACGGTTTTCAAGGGTGCCAGGACTAGGAAAAAACACCGTTGGCTTCTGTCGGCCGGAGGTTGTGGTGCTTCAGTGGCAGATGAGGCCATGGCAATCGTGGGCCCAGTGGGTCACTCCAAGCAGAGACCAAGAAAACCCAGGCTAGACCTGCAAGTGGCTTGGCGAAGTGGTGAACGATGCGAACCAGTTATGAAAGAGGACCAGGAACCTCAAAGTATCAAAAGGGCACTTGGTACATCAACACCAGGGTCTGCGAATGACAATCTCATGACTGAGGTAGGTAGGTTGTCCCCGCAAAGACGGCTGCACTACAAACAGGCAAACAAGGGAACCTGGCTGATTCAAAGGTGCACCTATATATTTGATTCATACTCAATTCAGCGAGCACTTTGCTTGTATGCCTTTGAGCCGATTTGGTAGAGGACAATTACGTAAGTAGCAAATGCGTAAACGATTCCTAGCCCATCCAAGTCGTTTATAGCGACTCTTCGCCAGTCGTTGAGGGGATATACATACAAAATATATCCTAGGAAGCTCAACCAGCGGCCTGATCCTTTAAGTATCACAGGTCATTCCCTTCCCAGTCCCACTAGCTAAGATGTCTTTTGAGGCCTTGGTGGACAGCCACAAGCGAAAGCTCATTCAACTTCGATCATGCTATGCGGAGTCAGCTGCCCCTGAAAACGCCGGCTCTGAGGGCACTGAAAGCTCTGGGCCCGCCGCACCTTCGCGTGTCGAGCCTTCCCAGAGTGTCGAAGCCTTCAGCACCTCGGCAGGTTTTATTTGTCGTTTCCCGATGGTCCCCACGTGGCATCATCTCCCAGGTAGTTGAAGGAGCATGTTATTTTAGTACTTTGACTTTATATTAGGATGGGGGCCATCGCTATTATTTTGGAATATTTTAGTTACTGTACTCGTGAAAACACTTCAGTGGGAATGTCCCCAGTCTCGAACTCTTGAGCTGGAATGATGGTGGACCTGATTCCCCTGTCGCTCCACAGCTGAGAGGGACAGAGTGGACGTCTCCTCACAGATGAAGTCGCTCTGCAGATCAAGTCCGCCCGCGATTTTGTTGTTGAAAAAGACATCTTCTTTGGCTATTTCACCTCGGGATCCCAGACAACCTAGATTTGGCCTTCGAGGCCTTCACAGGAAGAAGTCCTGGTCAGGGGAATTGCAGTTTACTGAATTGATTGGCACTGCGGGAAGAGAGAGAGAGAGAGAGTCTGTGAAGTGTCATGAAATGTTTGTATCCAAACACGTTGCTTCAAGCAGGGGTGGTTGGTTTTCGCTGTGGGGTCCGTGGGGTTGGCTATGTTCCATGTCCGAGGTGCACTTTTGCCCTGTCGGGTGGTCGAGGAGGGGTCTGTGGACTTCGACGGGCCGATGATGGACCACCGGAGTTGCGTGGTGGAAAGGAGGGAGGACTAGTAGCTTCTTGCTACTAGCAGTACGGCCAGGAGCTACTAGTAGCGATGCCCTTTGTTACTAGTACTGGTAGCTTCTTGTTACTAGTGGCAATGGCCTCCAACCTACTTGCGATGGCCTGCACCTAGTTAGTAGCGTCCTTGCTACTAGTAGCATACGGTGAAAATCAGCGAGGACATTGGGCTCCCGGTGTTTACTTGGACGTGTACTTACGCCTTACGCACCAGGCTTGCGAAGTATCAGAGCCAGTCTTGCCAGCGGAAATACGTTGAGCCACGGTGAGAAATCTTCTAGTTAACATCTAGCAGTGCTGCCATAGGAATGTCAGGAATCTGCGACTCAAGACGGAATATGATGCAGGATATGTTGCTTTCTCCCTTGTTACTAGTAGCGATGGCGTCCAACCTCTCCACCTAATAGCATCCTTGTTACTAGGTGATATAATGCTTTATGTTGCTTTTGGGATTGCTGGGTTTCCATCGGTTTATGTACCCCGAGACAGATCTACAGTTCTCCCTACTGTAGTGAAGGAAATATTTGACAAATTTGACAGGCCTTTGCGACGCCTCTCATTCCACCCCAAAATGTAGGACAGCCTTATCTTGGGTCATGTTGGAAAACAGGGGAACTGTCTTAGTAGTTTTGTATGCTGCAGGTTGAATCATCCCGGAGTAGATAGAATGTCGGAACCATGCCATGTTGTGTTCGTGTGAAAAACACTCCACAGAATCGCAGAATCGGATTCGCCACGCGATGCAGAGGTACTTCCGATTCTTTCTTCAGATCTTCTATGACCTATAGTTATATATAGTATGTAATATATAGTATATATACTCATCGTTGTCTTTGTTCTTAAGCGCGCTCCGACTCATATAATTAAGCAGGTGCTTGGTGCCTACTTAATTTCATAAGAGATTGCGACTCGTTCGCTAACTAGGAACAGTTCGCTCCTAGCCAGCACGCAGAAGAGCTCAAACGCTTCTTGAAGGAAGCTCCCCCCGCCCAACACGGGCAAGGGCGGAGCTTCCTTGAAGAAGCACCTCCTAGGCTCAACGATGGGTTTGTGCACAGTGATGAGTCCTAGCTGAAGCCTACTAGTTCGAAGCAGGGTGTGTGCTTCAAGTCGGGGTAGATACTCCATCCCCCAGAAATCTAGATAACAGAATGGTGCACACAACTGTTGCATTCGTTGCGAAACCTCTAAGATTAATTGCCTAACATTTAAAGCATGCAAACCTTTCGCGAACCATGAATCAATTGCGAAACCATCGAACCAAACAGTACCTGAAACGGTAAAAACCTTGGCTCACAGCCTGAACTAACTTCCTTTTCCTGCATTCGAACAAACAAGCTTTTCTTCAAGTGCTCTGCTCGTCTCGCACAGAGCTGCGATATTAACACATCCTGTCTTCGCACCCGCACCCGCCACCGTCCCGAGACTGTCCCAAACCAGTCCAGCCTACCGAGCGTTTCAGGGTACCCGTTGTGAGCTGACACGCGGTCTCCGCAAGAAGACTGCGTTGTGCCCTCCTACTTTGACATGCAGCCAACCAATCCTTCTTGATTCCGCGCGTTTTCCATAAGATGCGTACGTGACTCAACCTTTGCCATCCTATTCCGTCCGTAACTGGCAAGTTTCTCGACTTGACTCCTTCGACAAGTACAAACATACACTACACTAAGACTACACGTTCACGATATGCAAGCAAAAGCATTTGAGATCTCTAGCCTCTTCTTTCTAGGAACTTAATGACGAGTTCCAAGGAGAAAAGCAAGAAACAACTCCCGCTCCCCACAGTATTGTTCTAGATCCTACACAAAAGAAAGAAGATCAGCAGCAAAGAGACAAGTGCCGAGGGCAAGTCAGCGGCTTCAAGTTGTGTTCGATCTGTTTTGTTTTTTCAGTAGAGCCGCATCGAGCTGCTGGAATTCCATGACTTGTTCTACCATGTTCTACTTATTTAACATCATTTAACTACTAGCGCAGACCTGGGTGGACGGTATGGGAGATTGACACAGCGAGCCGGCCGCTCGCAGAAAATATAAAGCATTAAATAACACATCCTGCACACCTTTGTTGGTCAAACCACCCCAACCTAGAAATACTCCCCTAAGGTCTTAAAGTATCTATCTACATATCATATCTATACAAGTATCTGAAGGGTAAATCTGAAAATAGCATATTTATGTAAAAGATGAGTGGGCACAAGGTTAGCCACACCTGCCACTGCCTTAGCGGCTGCCTATCACGCTTGCCTGAGGCTCCTATCACACCGTCCACTGGCCAACACTGCCGGGCATCGATCCTCCATTGCCTCCAAATAGACGTGGCCACGATCGTCATTTGATGAAGCTGGACACGTACCCTTGACCTGCGTAGGGTGTGAGGTTCTAAATGGGGCAGGTGTAAGAATTGAGGCTGGGAGTTGGGAGGTTCTCGCATTTACTGTTTGTGGCCTTTTTAGCATTTTTTAGCCTTTCATCCTCTGCTTGACCAGGTTATTGGTTGGTGCTGATGCAGAACCTTTCACAATAGGACAATTCCCCTGTCAGTCACTGAAATTGGTGAACGTATAGTTTTTGGAAGAAAGCACTTGGCTCAGAGGGCTGGGACATCTGGCTGGGTCAGGAATCCATCAAGCAGAAGAGTCGGGAGTCCCTCGAAAAACAAAGATATTGATATAACGCACAGGAAACAACCATACACAGTAGTACAGTAGTTGGTTCAGGAGAGTTGGCAGAAGCGCGAATCAAA